CAGCAGGATAAACTTCAGGCAAATCCAGCCTTATAGCAGGAAAGTATTGCTTTGTGTTGCCTGGACCTCTTGTGCATCTGGATGCCTCTGAAAACACTGCCAACGGGGCTTATATCTCCAGAGCCAACAGGACAAACTGCTCAGGTATGTGGAGCAGTCTATCTGTGTCTGCACAGACCTTTGCACAGAGCAACAGGGATCTATGTTTGAGAAACAGGGCTGAAGGCAGAGAGGCCGCAGCTTACAGGGGTAAGAGAGAAACTGAATGCCTGAGAGAGGACTGCTTTCTGGATAAAGATCTAGCTTATGTCAGTAGATGAAGACAAAATGAACAGGGGAAAACTACTATTCAGTTGCTCTATATAGTCTGCAGAGATGGTAACTTCTATTTTCTCTAGCTAAAATTAGAGAAATATGAAATTATCCAGCTACTGGTGATGCCATAATACCACAGAGGGGCATGGAGGAAGTCTAGGGGAAGCAGGCCACACGGGGTCCATGGCTGTGCTCTGTGAAGAGCGCTAGAAAACTGGCAGTGAGTATCTCCCACCATGGTCACTTCTGCTCTCCTTCATGCACGTTTGTCAAAAAAAAAATCAGGATTTAAAAAAATCCATAAAACATTCACAAGGAAAAAAAATGCTGAGAGACTCAGAGTAGATGTTCTCAGCCTTATGAATCCCAAGACAGGTGCCTCTAGGCACTGATCTGGAGCTACTGAGAGCTGCCTTACCTGGGAATCAACGTCCCAAGGAGGTTAAGAGGTAGCTCTTGATCGTCCTGACTTCTCACCATGGACAAACTCCCTTGGATGGGGCTGCCTAAGGGACAGAGAAGGCCAGAACCCTGCCGCCTGAGGTCTGTTGAGAGTTTAACTACATTCCTCAGGAAATTTTAAAGTCTGTCAAATCTGCATGTTTCTGTGGCACGTTTCTATCAGCTCTGACATCCCATACTTTACTCAACTAGAACCCCGAGGCAGAATATCCGCAAAGTCCTCTGTAAAGCTCTTTGACTTTCAGTTCCTTGGAGAAGAACAATCGTTACACCACGTCTTAGCTTTTTCCTGTCCCCTTGTACCTCCTCCCGCACTGTCCACTCGCCAGGCCTATCACACAGTGATGTGACCTCCATTCCTTCCACCATTTCTCATTCCCTGCAATTTACAATAAAATGGGTAAATATGTAAGACAACATTTTTTCTTGGTCCAAGAAAGAAAATTCTTTTTTAATAATGTAGCTGAAGCTGTAAAATGAATCAGAGAATCTCCCCAGAACTAACCTACGTTTTCTGTCATCTAAGTAATATTTACAAGAGTGTAAAGATATTTAAACTGTAAAGTTCCTATCCTCCATGGAAAAACACAGGTAGTCTTATTAACGTGTTCTGCTTGAAGAAAGGGCAAAGAAACACATTTGAGAAATGTCCTTTAGTGCCGCTTGCTATATTTTAGCTGTCACCATGAGCTGTTCGGCATCACACATAAAGCATTCATGAGGAAAAACAGAAACAGTTTCTACCTGTCAAGGAAGCAAAGAGCAATGTGAAAACTGGTACTACGGAGCGCAGGTACTGTAAAGCAATGCCATTTCACTTCTTTGACAGTTAGGATGATAATCAACAAAGCAAATGGACCAACACTCAGAATAGAACTCCTAGCGGTATTTTTTGCTCTCTAATGGCATACAGCATGTGTCGAGGAAGTAGAGAAAAGAATACAAAAAATATAGAGAGACATAGCTGAGAACTCATCAATAGGAGGTGAAATCCGAGAAATCAGAAGCATCTACTGTCTGAGCAGGGAAAGGGTCTCTCCCAGCACATCCCCTCATCAAAACAAAAAAACTGCGCTGCCAGAGCTCCAGTTCTGACTCTTAATGGAATTTGTCAGCTACGCTAGTTAGACAACAGGGCTGCACACTGAGCCTGCAAACCTGCAGTTTTCCTCACCAATAACCTGTGCCAGCCTCCTGACAGGCACACAAATATTTTCGACAGGTGGCGCACAACAGCATGAAACTGAGGAGGTACCTAAATGAGAGACCTAAACCCAGCAGGTGTGCTTGAAAATTAACATTGCTTTACACAGGCGATTGCATTTTTCATGTAATTAGGTGCTTAACTGGGCATCCAAATATAGGCACATGCAATAAATTATGATTTATTTAATAGAAATCTTGTGTTTTGTCCTTCACCTGTGGCCAAGATCACTGCCATGGAATTATATTTCATTTTTAGAGTCATGTTCTATTCTTTTTCTGGCTTTTCTTCATGTTTGTGTGTGTGCCATATCCACTGCCATATCCAAAAGTAACCCATTCTTTTTTTATAAACACCTACAGAGAATATTAAAAGATGACAAAGTAATTTTCACTGTTATGGAAAGATACACTTGTATAACCAGATTTAAGTCATGTTGGCTCCTCTGTCTAAGACCCACTCAAAAACTGCTGAATCTGTTCTTTTCCTCCTGAACTCTAGTATGAATCATCAGGAGATCCAAATGAGTCGGTGGAATTACAAAGGTATAACTGAGAATAGAGGCTGATATAGAGGAAGTGAAGTCCAATTAAAAGGCAAAAATTCTGCCAAACAGCAATATCACTTTGAGATAGAGCTTTGGATGGATCCCAAATTATAGCAATGAGACTGGGTCTTCTGTCATAGTAAATCTTTTATATAGCAAATGATTCCAATGATTCTCAGCTCTGTGAAGACCTGAGAGTCTAATCAGGCGGTCTTTAGCTGACCCAAGTCTGCCTGTGGCTACTTCATTGCTACCATGGTTCTCTAGCAAACCTACCTTCTTCACTAGATATGAAGCACCAACGGCCAGATACCTGTCCTTTAATAATTTCAGCTCATTCCTAATGGGGGGGAGGGAGAGAAGGGGAGGGGTATAGAAGGTATTAAGAATGACTGTCAAGATATAGACCACTTTTTGTACACATCTAAACTAGATGAGAGAAAATGGGTGCTATCAATCCGTCCTATGTATTACAGATAATATTCACATCTACAGATTTCATAAAAGAACACACTGTATTTCTGGCATATGCAACAGAAAGAAAGTGGAGGAAGACATATGAGCATTTTCTAAACAATTGACAAGGATACAGAGATGAGTTTTCGGATTCTGCATTTCAGAATGATTAATCTGATAGGGGATATACCTAAAAAAGTAAGAAGGTGTGCCGAGAGTACTGAGTAAAATGTAAAGACACACGAGGAGAGTCCTGAATCAATGAGCAGAGATGTGTGTTCTTTCCACACTTCTAATTTCTTGCTGTGGCCATTTCCCTGCCTGATTTCCCATCCATCATTCTGCAGTGGGTCTCTGGCTTCAGGAAACATTTTTCTACATTGCTTTCTCACTCACTCACTCTCTCTATCCGAGGGCGAGAGGCAATGCAGACCCGGAGGAGAGGGCTGCTTCTCTCTTTTAGCATTCTGCCCGGGAACACGTTTGACTCACTGAACAGCTCTACCTCACGTTCTGAATATAGCTTCAGATGCTGGGGCAAATAAACGTTGCTGTAAGCGATATATTGAGAAGCAAATCCTGTTCTTATTCACAGTGGTGTAGCTACATTGATGTAAATAGAAGGCAGCTTTGAAAGGAATTTGTTAAAATTCCACCTAACAAGTTGGAAAACAGTAGG